GATCCACGTCTCCGAATTTTTTTTTCTACCCAACTGTGTTGTTAATGAACCTCTTGATCCCTGGCTATGTATGATTCTTCTTTATTTGGTGTTGTATTATGGACTAAGCGATTGGCGTGGATGGTTTTTTTTTCAAGACAGGTCGGCCTAGGTGTAAGGCTGCCATTGCGATACAGCTAAGTCTTGCTTAGAGAATTACTTGTTTTTCGCTTCCGGTGCAATTTAATCAATATGCTGTATACCAGTACATCTGCTTTCCAATGTAGACATTCGACCATAAAGATATTGAGAAGAAAAGCTTGCAAAACGTTCCTAAAATCATATCTCATAAATGTTACATTGCTCAATAGGAATCCCTAATATAAAAACACCCATCCTGATATAGTATCTCCCAGTCCGCTGTATCTCCTGCCCAATGCTCATAGTCCATTATATCCCAGGCCCGAGATACTCGTCTATCTGCCCTATCCAATTATTGAAGCAATCACCTGAAAAAAGAACGCCGTCTCTTTCTTGTTGCCCAGTACTGAGTACCCTTCCAACTTCCCTTCAAAAAGACGAACACATAGAGGGCTCATCGCCAATGAAACAAAAGAACAAAGAAAATTCGTAAGTCATAAGGTTGATGCAGGATGCAGGATGCAGGTTGAGTAAACGGAATATCGAAGCTATGGAATGAACATAGCAGCCATGGTCATGAAACCGAAGTATCTATAAAAGTCAGTCTCAACCGCATCCACACAGAATCGAAGCAATCATACATTGTAGCACAGCGCCATCCATCCCTCGAGTCGACCAGCGTATCAATGCCAGCCGAATAATTTGCTGCAATGGCCGCCGCAGCGCCGCCAACAACTGTCACAACGACAAGACGACCAGAGAACTCCGCAATGAGGCTGAACGCCAATAATGGCAGTAGGAGCGCACCGGATGCGATGATAATGGCGATGTAGACGGGTGCTGCGGCGGCAGAAGCAGCTAGTCGTGGAGTGAGGGAGACCAAATCCGCGTCGTGGATTAGGAACCTTGTCTCGACTCCAGCGACGGGTTTGTTCTCTCTCATCCAGCTGCGATAGCCCGTGATGTCCTGTTCCGAGGCGCGCGGGAGGGTCTGTAGGACTTTGCTGTAGGCGCTGAGGGCGTTGTCTGCATGCTGGTCAGCGGGTCTGCTTTGTGAACAGAAGCATGGGGAGTGGAAGGAAGAGGCTTACTGTATTGTTCGGTCTTTTGGATCAAAGCACTCATGAGATCCATGCGACGGTAATGCAAAGATGAGTATGCCTGGGCCTGGGCATCTCGGCGTCGTGAAGACGGTAGGGGCTTTGTGCCTTCCTGCTCGGCTGCGCTGACTCGATGCATTTCATCATATTCGTCTAGCGCGTGGAGATCTTCTTCCATTTGGGAGATCTCGTCTTGGAGGTGGAGTAGAACGCGGTGATTGATGGTCTCGAAGCGTCGGTATAGCGGCGGGAAGCCGCCGCTCTCTTCTGAGGCGGATTTGGTTAGGTACGTAGCTAGAAGACCGTATCCAGATGGCTCTTGCGATGCAGTGGAGTCTCGTCTCTTTGTTGGCGTGGTGCGGTGAAGACTATCTTCTGGACTTCTTGGGGGAGATGGTGGGAGCGGTGGTCTGTGGACAGCACCGTTGTCTCTTGATGAGCCATGGTATATCGGTGGTCGGGACAGTTCTAGTTGGCCCTTTTCTGGAGAGATGCTTGCAGTCGAGATCGGGCTCGGTTTTCTGGTGGGTTGTCTCTTCCGGGTAACTAACTGATTGCCTGTAGAAGGGACGGGGGTTGGCGCGGGCTTTCGTGGTTCACTTGGACTTTTGGATACCACTGGCGGGGATTGGGCAACTTTCTTCGGAGGTGTGTTTCCCCCTGAGACCAAAACTCCATGCGGCACGGTATTTGCTCGTGGCTTGGGAGACTGGATTTTGGTGGTTTGTATAGGGCGCGGAGGCACCGGCTCCTCGTCAGATTCAGATTCAGACTCCGACTCCGATGATGAGGATGACGACGATGAGTCTGAAGACGATTCATCATTCTCTTCCAAGAACTCAAACACATTAGGCACCTTCTTCGCCGGCTCTGCGGGTTTTGGTGGGTTCTCTAGAACGGCAGGCGCATTTAGGGCTGACCCATTGGCCTGTGAAGGTGAACTGTTCTGGGCAGTTTTGGGACTCGCGACAGGACCAGCCTGTGCAATTGTAGTGTTGGAGACCAACGAGTATGTCCTCTTTCTTCCATCCTTTTTTGGCTTTCTAGTTTGGAACGGCATGATCGGAGAAGTTCGGAATCAATACCCGGATTCATACCTCAAATAAAATATCCAAGGGCATGCCCGCAGAAAAGAAAACGTGAAACATGAAATGAACAGTGCAGTGGAATTAGGAGTATAGGGACCATATCCCAGGGGGGATGGAATTCCAGGTCTCAGATCGAGTTGTCAAAAGGTGGAATCCAGGGACAAAAATAATCTCCAAATTTCCCCACGAATTCTCTCAGACATTCCCCATGTTAAAAGGGAATATGAAATCCTCAGTTATAGAAAAAACGTCAGCCCCCAATCCAAAGTTGGAAATAGGTTGTCAGCTGGTGAAAACGAGCCCAACGTGTTATGCCTGTCGAAATGGAGACTTGCAATTCGTCACAGGCAGTTCGGGACAATCTGAAGCAAATTAGAAGCGCTGGCTTTATTTAGATCGACCAATGAGGATAGTGCAAGGAGGTTCCTTGTATCCCTCTAGGGCGTCTCTTCGAAAAGAAATAGGAAAATGGTGAGGAATTGCCGTGAGCATTCTAAAGACCAAAGTAGGACAAATCAGACCTTGTCATAATATGTATCTGAACGAAGTTGGAAATATGTACATGCAGTTATGCGCTGGTCGATCTTCCTTGCATCTGGCGGTCTAGAGCGGGGGAATGTGATGCAGCATTGTGGGCAGTACGCTCTATAACACTTATCTACCATATTTCATGCATAAAGGTCAAGAATGTATATGGAGTTGAGTGTATGGGAGTAGGGAGTAGAGTACTGGAGTTGAGATAGAAGAGATGGGTATGATCAATCCATTACTCAGTACTCCAATACTCTAGATAGAAAAGATTCATATTTTTATAATTTAATTACCATTGAGTTTAAAATAACACTTTTCAATTACTCTATGCATGTTATACATACAGTATACAACATTGTATGCATCCTCGTGGCGACGCGCTACATATTGCAGCTATATCGGGTTTTCCTGAGGTTTTCCTGGGGTTTTCCTACGGCCGCTTTTAGAAGGTGTCAAGTATTTTGTCACATATATATTTCCTCTCAGTTTGATGGTTAAGGAAATAAAGCTTATGACTATATGGTTATATATATGGAGTTGTACAAAAGATACCTCATCTTTACAATTTACTATCCCCCACTGTTCGGCTTGGCACGATTATACCGCGATTAGGCGCCCCTAGTGAAATGACATCGCAACCAGGCCCCTTGTATTTCTGCTGCTCCTAGGTAGTAAAAGTTTTCGCACGCCTTCGCCTCCACTCGTTGCGAAATCTAAGTGAATGTAAGATATGTGGAAGCCCAAATTCCCTTTTCAAGATCATCGACACTTTTACTTCTTACAGCCCCGGGACGCCATACATTAGTGTGTATCGAGGAGGTCCGGTTGAGATGGCTCGGACACAATATCTTACGGTTACGATGAAGATCACCTACGGTTTGACCAACGACATTGGCGAGATAGTCCTTACAGATGTAAAGCCAATCATTATACAGAAAAGCCCTTTTGCATTCTCGCATTTTCGATTACACCGTCCCTACCACAATTATGATCTATAGGATTTAGACAATACCCCGGAGCGGGAGGCGTATTATAATGATTAATATAATCTAATTAATATCATCGTGGATGGACCCGGCGTTAAAGTGAACGTCACTAATAACGAGGATTTCTTAAGCCTCCAACTAAGGGAGAGCTGGACCGAGTGAATATATCCTGATCTATTTAACTTGCACGACGATACAGCGATTGGTGACCCCTATTGAGTCTAGTATTAGGGTGATAGGGTGAGTTCACTAGTGGATTTGAGGTGATCGGGAAGAACATGATTATACTATGGTAAAAGTGCCAACCTAACTTAGTAGTGATGTCGTCGATCCCTCTAATAACGAGAGAAAACGGAGGATAATGATTTCCGGGTCTAACAGAGTCGAGTTAGCTATCGTCGAAAGTACCGTGGCTGGATCTGATACTGCAGTTGTATACTAGTGTTCAATTACATGAAACTATTTCTTCTCTGAGGAATAGCTTTTATGTCAATTGCATATAGGCCTAACAGAAAGTTCAAGTAGATATATAGCTGAGGAAGATATGCCTGGTTAACGATTTGTCCGAACTCCGGAAACTTCCACTAATTAGCCTGTTTCTACGGCTTCTGATGCTCTTAGTATAATTATTATAATGATCTTCCAGTTCATATCTCGATTTTTTGAGATCTATCTCACACCCTGGTGATAAGAGTGAATAGTACATCCATGGATAGTATGAGAGTCTGTTTTGAACACTAGACTATATACGCCTATCAACAACGTCCTATGTTTATTATTTGAAGCTTTGGAAGTTATTCCATCATATGTAGGCTACTCAGCTCATGATATTGTGCTTTGCAAATGGGGGATGGGATTCCGATTGGTCAAAAGAGATATATCATGCATAAAGCACACCCGCATCCCCCGATAATCCAATCCCAACCCCAAGCAGATATCATTCGCTCACCATCCCTTGTCTATCGCCCTACACTTCTTCATTGTCACTGCAATGGGAAAGACACCCACTACAGATCAGCAGCCGCTGGGCATGGCCAAACCACCGCATCGTCCACGACCGCGAAAGCCCCTGGCCCAACGCCCCCATGAATTCACGTCTCGGCGTTCCCTTGACGCAAAAAAATGGACGGTCTGTTAGGAAATCAGCAAATCTAGGCACAAAATACGAAAATTGGATGGATTGCGAGGTTAGTCGCTTATTGCCTTACCACCTATCCCAATTGATCAATCCCTGATGATGTTCCTCTAGTTCCATCCAGATAGCTTTGCTGCACTACATCGTGAGTTCTCTGTCCTATCATTTATTTCTCAGATTCCCTCCCCGATCGGCCACCCTCGTATCATAAGCGCCGATTTCAAGTCCGGTGTCCTTGTGCTAAGCTCGCCAAAGGTCTACTGGACACCACTTTGGCAGCATGTCAACGAGCCGGTCCTCGATCTTGACTCATTACTTCAGATGAAGCATGAATTGCTCGACTATATCGGATCATTGTACGTCAAAGGTGTTGGATTTTAAGTCAAGCCGAAGAATTTGTTTCCTATCAGGAAATCAGCCGGCGGTTGGCTACTGTACTTGGGTGGATGGGCGGACACGGACTTCTGCTCGGCACCGGATCGAATCCAATCAGATGAGTGGAAGACACAAGAGAAAGAGCAGGTGAATGAGGTAGAGCGGATGTTTATTGAATTCGGTGCTCGTGTGAAGGAAAGGGATAAAGCGATCAAACACGACTAAGCATGAGGTCACCGGGAACCAGTTTTAATGATTGATGAATTAAATGATTAATGCACGAATTGAAGCGCCTTCTAAAGTCATACAAAAGATCCATTATTTCTAGATATTGTGTTTGATGAAAATGGTGTTTGGTATGTAGTCCATAGTACATAGACTGAAGTCCAATGATCTGCAGATCGCCAAGTCCCCCGAGCTCCCGCAAATTCACGTCTTTCAAGACTCAACACTCTCACCCGAGTCCAATCTCTCTATGCTTCGGTCATGGATTGGCAGCGGTACGATCCGCTCTCTTTGCGTTCGACGCTTGACTCGGTCACCCCGTTTGTTCCCTAAAGCTCCATTCTCCTCCGCGCCAAATCGCTATCTCCAACCGCCGGCCTCCGCAGATCGCGTTCCCCTTCGCAAACAACTCAAGCAGGAAGCTAAATCGCTTCGGTCACACAAAAGGCAACGCAAGGAAACAGCAGAGGCTTCGAGGGAAGAATGGGAACTGACAGTGGGCGTGGAGATCCACGCGCAATTGGATACAGAGACCAAACTATTTTCCCGTCAGTACGCCTTTACGGAGAATACGAGTCATCTTCTCATAAATTGAATAGGGGCAGCAACATCGACAAGTGATACTCCCAATTCCAATGTCGCCTTGTTCGATCTGGCGTTCCCGGGTAGCCAACCGGTTAGTGTTATAGTGTACAATGCTGTGAAATAGGGCCAGGACTGATCTGAGACAGGCATTCCAAATCGCAACACTTCTACCAGCTCTCCGCGCTGCTATTGCACTGAATTGTGAGATACAACCAGTCAGTCGGTTTGATCGGAAACATTACTTTTACCAGGATCAACCGGCGGGGTATCAAATCACACAATACTATGGTAAGTTCTCGTTCCTCTTCAAACGTAAACCATACTTACCTGCTCTAGAACCCTTCGCACGAAATGGCTATGTTGAGCTATTCGACTATGATGGAATCGCTCCGGAAGACGGTGAACGGGTTCGTATTGACATCAAACAACTGCAGTTAGAGCAGGACACAGCCAAATCCCAGGAATACCCGCCCACGACACAACTTCTTGACTTCAACCGTGTGTCCCACCCCCTTATTGAAATCATCACTATGCCGCAAATCCACACTCCGGCAACGGCTGCAGCATGCGTTCGGAAACTACAAGCCATTGTACAATCATGTGGTGCTGTGACTACGGGAATGGAGATGGGCGGTCTTCGTGCAGACGTCAACGTCTCGGTCCGACGCCGAGGCGAAGAACCCGGGAAATATCAGTACGACGGGATCAGCGGGTTGGGTCAGCGTACGGAGATTAAGAACCTCAGCAGCTTCAAGGCGGTAGAGGATGCCATCATTGCTGAGAAGAATCGTCAGATCGAGGTTCTCGAGAGTGGCGGTGTCATCGAAGGAGAGACACGTGGGTGGACGATCGGTAGCACTGAAACTCGCAGACTTCGCGGCAAAGAGGGCTCGGTCGACTACCGCTACATGCCTGATCCTGATATTCCACCTCTGGTCATTGGAGAGGACCTGCTCTCTAGTCTCAGAGACTCTATTCCGACAGCCCCAGATGCACTTCTCACACTGCTCGTCGGATCCGAGTTTAGTCTTCCAATCGAAGATGCCAAACCACTCATCGAGCTGGACAACGGAGCCCGACTCGAGTACTATCACGATGTGGTGGATATCCTCCGCACTCTTCAAGTAGACCAAGACGATAAAACACGCGCCAGTCTCGCACGGGTGGCAAGCAACTGGGTTTTGCACGAGCTGGGAGGTCTTTTGGCCAAAGCAGACCGGGCATGGGACCCAGAGATCGTCCCAGCCAGATCCTTGGCCCATCTCATCGACCACCTACAGCGGAAACGTATCACCGGCCCCACAGCCAAACAGGTGCTGGCCACCATCTTTGACGGGGACCATCGACCAGTGCCGCAACTACTAGAGGAGGAAAATCTTCTACTGCGGCCGCTGTCGCGGGAGGAATATCTAGCGCTGGCAGAGTCGGTCATTGCCATGAACCCGCAGATGGTCGAACAGATCCGCAGCAAGAATCAGCTAGGTAAACTAGGCTGGTTCGTGGGACAAATGATGCGGACTGGTGAAAAGGGCCGTGTGGAGGCTCCTAAAGCAGAGGAGATTCTCCGGGAGTTAATTCTGGGATAGCTTGTATAGTATAGCATAAAATGTATTCTACGGCATCAATGATACCCTCTTTTCACGATGGCCAAGACTGTCAAATTTATTTTCCAACCCTCTCCCGGACCTCCGATACCACCTCATGGATAAAAGCCCGGAAATGAATTACAGAACTTCCCGGTCTGTCCTCCACTGTAACAGGTCAAAGCTGAATGTTTGTGGGACACCGAATGGCCCTAAAGGGGGGAGCTCTCCTCAACCTGTACTTAACGGAAGTGATGGAGATCCGGCGGAGTCACTTTGATCGCTAAAAGCAGTTTTTAGCGACTTCGCGGACATTGCGTAAGGAATGAAAGCACCGCCCCGGTTGAACTCGGGCTAATGTGAAAGATAGTTTGAGACAATTATGAGATATTTAAAAGGACAAGTTATCCTGTATTTCTCTCTTCTTCGAAATTCATTGACATCTTGACCTTTCTTATCTTTATCTTATCTTGATCTTGATAGCTCAACACCTCAATAGCTCGCTCTCTCTTCCTTACTTCCTTACTTTCAATTTCAAAAAGTCATAGAACAATTATCTACACACACAATGACGCAGCCTTCAACCATTACTTCAAGGTTCCTCTCACACCCTCACCAACTCGGCGTTGTTGCCGTTGGTTTCAATGGCGGCCAGGTAAGACCTCCCTGTGGAGCTGAAGCTATAGATCACGAATCACACTAACACACCCCAACAGTGCAAGAAGGGTGTCGAAGCGGCCCCAATGGCCCTCATCGAATCAGGACTTCTGACCCAACTCAGCGAGGATCTCGACTACGAAGTCCACCACGACAACACAGTCCACTACTACGAGAATGACATCCCCACCGAAGACCCCGACCACCGAGGCATGAAGAAGCCACGAGCCGTCAGCGCCGTGACCGAAAAGCTCAGCTCACAAGTCTACGACTACGCCAAGGACGGAAAGTTCGTCCTCACTCTTGGCGGCGACCACTCCATCGCCATCGGCTCCGTCTCCGGCACAGCAAAGGCAATCCGCGAGCGACTGGGCCGTGAAATGGCCGTGATCTGGGTCGACGCTCACGCCGATATCAATGTCCCCGAAACAAGTGGCAGTGGAAATATCCACGGTATGCCTATGGCGTTCCTGACCCGGCTGGCCCGGGAGGAGAAGAAAGATATCTTTGGCTGGATGCAGGATGAGCATATTGTGAGCACGCAGAAGATTGTCTATATCGGACTGCGCGATGTCGATCGCGGGGAGAAGAAGATCTTGCGGGAGAATGGTATCAAGGCATTCAGTATGCACGATATCGACCGGTATGTTTCAGTTTTCGCTTTTCCTGGGTGTGTTAATGATCTTCGTGCTAATTTCTCCTCTGCTAGTCATGGTATCGGTCGCGTTGTCGAAATGGCTCTCGCTCACATCGGTAACGACACTCCCATTCACTTGTCCTTCGATGTCGATGCGCTGGATCCTCAGTGGGCACCTAGTACCGGTACTCCAGTCCGTGGTGGGTTGACACTGCGTGAGGGAGATTTCATTTGTGAAGCTGTACATGAGACGGGAAATCTGATTGCGATGGACTTGGTCGAGGTGAACCCTAGTTTGGAGTCCGGGGGTGCATCGGAGACTATTCGAGCGGGATGTTCACTGGTGCGTAGTGCATTGGGTGACACTCTTCTATAAATTCTGGATAAAGGAGTTAAGGGATAGAAGAGATTTTAGAGAGAGGTTTCAGTACTCTGTAGATCAAATGCGAACTGTCAGATTGAAAGACACTAAATCCCCTGCCACCTCAATTTCCTAAATTCCCCCTCCCCGGCCTTTTGTTTTTTTTCTTACATTTTTTCTTCTTTCTTTACTCTGTACATGTTGGCATTTTCATTCATTTAGTCGGAGATTTATGCGCAATTGTAAATATCCACGTCGCACCGACTCCATTCTCCCAGGGCCTTCAGCGCTCAAGGGCGCCCAATGCGCTGTCCCAATCACCGATACCAGAAACCATAGGATTCTACCAATCCCTTCGGACTTGACTCACGATCTGGCCATATCCCCAATTCGATCCCAACCCTGCAAACAAAACATAGGGCCTCCAACTTTGCGTCGGGTATACAACACCACCTGGATAGTATAAAGGGCACACCCACTCCACAGTCGCAATCGAGCGCCATCACCCATCGCAAAACACAATTCAAAACAATCCTCCAAATCTCCATAACATCCCACAAACAATCCAATGGCAGTCCGCAAGCGCCACGAAGCGCGCCGTCGCTACCACTGGCCCGAACTTCAACTCAACATCTGGATCATGGTCGTGCTCTCATGCTCAGCGACATGTCTTGGAATCTTCGGGTGGTTCATGGCCGTGCAAACGCAAATGCATCTTGGGACACCATGGTAAGTGACAATATCTATAATTATATCTATACTATGTGGACTAGGGCGCATTCCCCTAATCCACCCCCCACATTCCCCGTCAGATTAGCTATCCAATATAAGATGTGATATACTAACGATGATCCAGGCTCTTCCCTTACATGGTTGTCAGCAGCGCTCTGGGCGTGCTCTTCATATTCCTCATTCTGGTCCTTGCGTCGCGACACTTCCTCTTGCCGGGGATTATCATCATCGGCAGCTTTATTCTCCTCGTGCTGTGGTTGACGGGTCTGATTGAGACTTCACTACAGCTGTATGGGGTTGTCGGGAATGTGAATGATAATTGCAAGATTTATGTGGAGGATAATAAGTCTTGGGGGAATAATATTAATACTTTGGCTTGGTTGACGCAGAGTACTATTTGTGAGTTATTTTTTACATCCTTTCATATGGTATTGGGGACTAACTGGGGTTTATAGGCAATTGTTGGAAAACTGCCTTTGCGCTTGAGCTTGTTAATACTATTTTCTACCTTTGGATGATGATTATGTCGTGGCAAGTTAATCGGGATGTTTATGATTGATTTTTGTGATACCACTTTTTTGCATCTATGGCGTTGAAAGCGATCTAGCATTGATTTTTTTTTTACTTATGAGATTTCCTTCCGTTGTATTTATACTTAGCTGTTATTTTATCCTAGGCATAGATCTTAGGAATCTCAAGTTCATGGATATATCGAATTGAATTGTACAAATAGCGATTCTCAGATACACACAAATTCCTGAGAACTACAAAACACCAAGACACAAGGCCCTAGAAGTGACAAAGAATCAAATGGACCTAATAAACGCCGTCGCTGTGCCAAGAGCGTATTGCCGCACACAAAGAGAATCTGAAACATAAGAGCAACTCAAATTGAGTGCTTTTATCCCTTCTCAGCTGCAGTATCTGCCTCTGCTTGAGAATCGTAACCTCCGCCCTCAAATGCAGCAAGCATCTCCCGTTCCAGCTCGTCGTCATCGTCATCTGGGTCAGGATAGTCGGCCTTTGGGCCGCTAGTTCCTGCTGTTTCGGTGTCAGACACTCCTTCCACGGGTGTTTTTGGAAGGGCTGGGGAAATCTGGTCACTTCCAGAGGCAGGAGCCGATGTGATTTCTCGCAGTTTGGTATTGCGCTGGTAGGAGCGTTTAATTCGTTGGGAGAGCCGAGAGCCTTGCTTGTCATGGTCGTCTCCGTCGTCGTCTCCAGACTCTTCTTCGTCAGTGCCACTTTCGGTTTCTTCATTGCGTTTACGCTTCTTGCCTCCTGTGGATGATTCGTCTAATAAGGACTCGGTATCGCTTTCACTTTCGTCATCGCTGCCCAGGAAGTCCTTCAGTTCGTCGTGCACGGCGGCTTGCTCGTCGGCATCATACCCGATCGGTGATGTCTCGTCCAGACCGGATGACTTGAAAATGTCTTCGGCGTCATCTTCTTGGGTCCATTGGGACCCTGTTATATCATCGTCTGTGGATGAGAGCATGGAGGTCTCAAGTTCAAGCTCACTTGGGGTCAGAGGGTCGCCTCGGTCGTCTGGGTGAAGTGGGAGGAGGTATGGTTCTTCGTCCACATGTCTCCACTGAACCAACGCGTCGACAAGCCATTGAGTCGTCACGATCTTGATATTGGGATAGCGAGTGGCTTCTCTCACCTTGGCGGTGCGATTGCGGCCAGCCACGAGATGAGTTGTGCGGGCATTTACCCGTGATGAGATCGTCACACCGAAGCTCTTCGCCCACAGGGAAATGTCTGCATTTTGGAAGTCTATGCCCAGAGGAAGAACACCTGAAAATACCAAAACTACTCCTCCAAGGATACGCCGTTTGATCTGCGGCATGATGTCCTTGACGTCGGGGACCAATTTGAGATCCACGTCCTTATCTCTCGAGTGAACCTTCTCACCCCTTAGAGCTGCCACCCGACCCCCAAGAGCGAGAGTCCGCCTCTTATCATATTCATCATAGAATTGAAGATGTACTTGTTCGAGTCGGTTTTGCAGCTGGAAGAGTTCTTGATCGTGATCCTCGAGTAGGTGATGGCGATGTTTCGCAGGTTCCTGGGTCTCTTCGACGCTAGACGCATCACTGGTTCCAGCGGTATCCTCTGCCTCCAATTCCTTTTGCTTCTGTAACAAAGGTCGATCCTCCACTTGATGCAATATTGTCTCTTCTTGTGCATCAGCCTGTTCCTGGAGGAGTCTTGGGCTGTCTCCACCCATGGTCACCAGTTGTTCTAATGCGGAGATCTCGGTCCCCTCTTGCGTCTTACCATTGACATGATGTTCTTTGGTCTTCTCTGGGGCCTTTGCTTCGATCTGCGGCTTATTCGCTCCAATGTCTTCCTTCTTTGGGAGGAAACTTGAATTGATGTCACCAATTCCGACGAAGAAGTCATAAGGCGAGACCTTAATAAGATTGGGACTCCACCTCCAGATATCACCACGATCGTCAATGATTACAACCATCTTTGTGTCCACTGGGAACAGCCGTTGCAGGTCCTTGACCGTCAAACTTCCGCTCTCGTCACGACTAAGAATTCGGTCTCCGAACAGCTTGCGGGTGGGGTCAATGATATCAACAATATGTTGGGCATAAGCACGAGTACCCATGGTGTAGATGTGCAACTCATAAATCTCAGCCACGTTTTGCAAGAATTCCTCCAGTCCTGGCCGCAGCTTGATGTAGTACCAACATCCACGCATCCCAGGACCATCGTCAATTAATTGAAATTGTCGCACATCCTTCACAGCATCGTGGTTTGGATTTTGCTTGTCTTCTCTCCATTCCCCCACTGTCGGATCAACAGTAGCGTGGATGATAGTTTGATCAAGATCCACCACCAGCGTCAAACGCCTCGATGCAAGTAGCCGGCGCTTCGCATCTTCTTCGACTCTGGTTGCTTCCCGTTCGCTGACCGTAAGTGTGACGTTGTCATGGGCCATGGAGATTGGAGCGCGCATGGAGTCAGTGATTTCCGTGTTGTATGTAGATCTGTTCACGAGATAGACGGTTAGAAAAAGCGCATTTCCCACGGAGGGACTTATACATACTCAGTCATGTCCTTCCCGCACTCGGCGCAAAGTCCTCCAAACTGGATCTCGTGCGCGCAAGGCTCATCGATTTCGACAACATTGACCCTAGCAACAAATTAGACAACATTCGACAGTAAAACGACAAGGATCAATATTCTTACGGTTCATCAATAACGTCTCCACTCTGGATTTTCCATTTAAGAACCTCTCCATCAACAGTCGATTCAAATTTAGTCGGGTACCTACGCTTCACCTCGACGATATTCCCCAGTCCATCACCCTCGGTGACGGTAGTCACATAGTCATACCAAAACAAAGCCTCATCCTTCTCAACCGTGTCGCCCGGCTGCTTAAGCAACGTGGTCACGGTGATCGGGTAATGTAGGCTGGTGGGCAGACGGAGAAGCATGGTTGCTCTTCGTTCGCCCCCAGGCGATGGAATGCACTAAAGCCGAGTTCCTGTCCTGACGTTCTTCCCAAATATATTCAGTGCCCTTGGTTTGTTGACGGCGCGCGTCAAGGACGTGTGGGTCGAATGGAGTGATCGCGTGCGATTCCGGCTACGAAGCCATCACCGACACGCAACGCGTGTAGAACTGGATGATCTCGGGTTTTGGTGGTAGTATTTCAGCCTATGACTCAGTGGTCCAAGGTGGTTCAGTGGGATAAGTAGGTGCGAATGGTGGTTTAGGCAGCGCAATGAGAAATCGCCACAAGGCGCGAATGGGAAAAGAAATCCGTGCGCCTAGCACGACCTGGCGCGGAGATAAGAGGCGAGTCACACACCAGGCGGGGAGATTTTGGTTGAGTTTGAGAAGTCGGAGAAAGTTGAAAGAGGAATGCGGGTTGCGATCAAAGAACAGGGAAGCTCATTGAAGTTGTGCGGGGACTCACTCGATCTGGGTTGAGAGCTATTTCCGCTTATGTCATACCGGTACTTAAAAACCGGTATCTTCACTTACTGTTTGAGGTTAGATCTACTTTTGTTCAAGTATCTTATGTTTTTCGACATGGTCTGATATAATGGCTTGATCAAATACCCTTATTTTATTTCTATTCTCAGTCTCACATGCTTTGACTATATTAGAAACTCGACTGTTGGATTGATGTTTTAGGTACCTGCACCTTAACCAGCATAAGCTCCAGCCAATTACCATTCAAGTTCGTACATCTGGGAATTTGCCGAATCCAGCTTGACATACTATAGCCACTAATTAGGTATGAGAGAAGTTTGATTCAATAAAAAGGTCAAATGTAATAAGTAGATCCCAGCCAATAAAAATATCAATTCGCAGTACCAATGAACGACATGCCTCATGGGGCTGTGCCAGCAAGAGAAAAAAACAAAAACCCTATTCAACATGCTACTAGCAATGGGCGAATGAAGTGCGCTATGAAACCATACGTAAAACCCAGAAGCCACATGTATATACGAAGCAATCTCTTGGCGTCACCTGGTTCTTTGAGATTCACAGCTCACCGGGCCATCGAGCATTAGGGAATTTATTTGGCCTTGGCCAAACCGACGGCGTTGTTACCGACATCATAGACACTGTACCAGCGGCGCAGGAAGGCATCACCCAAGATAGCCAGGGGACCCACGGGCTCGGGGAAGTCCATGCCCATGAAGCTGCTGATGCATGAGCCCTGGACCTCCAGGATGTAGTCGTGGGGGCCAATAGTGAACTTGTGGCCGCCCAGGGTGAAGGTGAGGTCGGGCAACGAGTCGCGCTTGTCGCACTCGACACTGTACTGACCAGTGAAGCCCTTGGTGGCACCGATCTCCTTGTTCCTGTGGAATGAGTCAGCAAAGAGGTTATAAAAACAAACGAAAAGAAATCAACTTACAGAAGTTCGGCCATGGTGGAGGGCAGGGCAATGAGGGAGGTACCGGTATCCAGAATGACACCGGTGTTCTCAAGCTCAGCAACGTTGTTACCGAGGGCAATGGAGTTCAGCTCGACCTCCCAGTACGCCTTGCGACGGAGAGGGATCTTGATCAGCTCGCCAGTAAAGTGGTTCTCGTTGATGCCACCGAAAGTAGCCTCAGAGTCGTCGCCCTCCTTGTTGGCATCGCCAAGGTAGAAAGCAAACACAGGCTCATCGACGAGCTTCTGGTTGATCATGTGATAGAAGGGAGGGACCATCTTGTTCACGGAGATGGTATCATAGCCGAGGCCGAGAATACCATCAAAGCGACCGAAGGCAAAAGCCAGACCAGGCTCGTTGGTAGCTTCAGCGAAGTCCTGTCCCTTGATCTTCAAGTCACCAATCTGGAGTGTGTCTCTAGACACGAAGCCGCTCAGGCTACCAGATCCATAGCGAATCTCGAACTCGGTGCCATTCTTCTCATATGTGCTTGAAGCAGACGAGTCATATTTGGTGTGAAGGAAGCAGGCGATAGAGCTGCACTGCGAAGAGGGAACCCACAGGTTGGAGCTACCAGTGTCAAGGACAACCTTGAAGGTCTGGGGTGGGTTACCGATTGAGATCTCGGAGAAGTCTGGAAAAGT